GAGGTCAGCAAACCCAGTGACAAATCTGGCCCTCAGCCCATGTTTGTAAATAAGGTTTTGTGGAGCACAGCCATGCCCACTCATTCACATATTTCTATGGCTGCTTTTGGACTATCACAGCAGAGTTAAATAGTTGCAGCAGAGATCATAAGGTCCCAAAGACCTAAAGTATTTACTCTGTGGCACTTTACAGAAAAAATTTGTGACCTCTCCTTCATCCAATGACTCATGATTCATGATATTTTCCCACCTGGCTTTTAGGAACAGACACTCTTCCTGGCCATACTTGAGCACTGGGCACTATTACCTGTAATACTGTTAGATAGTTTTTGCCCCAGACCTAGGTAGCTTTCTCACATCCATTACTAATCAGTACTCAACTGAATACTTGGGCGAGATCCTCAGAATATCTGAAATTCTTTTTCTGTGCAGCTCTCTTCTCTTCACTACTCAGTCCCATGAACTCTAGTCACCTTGGTCTCCCCAGACTCTCAACCCTGTTTCCTTCACAGCTCAGAGAACCTGCTGGGCTTTGCCCAGATTACCTCTTCTTACAATGTGATCTGGAAGCTCCCTTAAAGTAATGAGCTGGTAACAGTGATTGGACTCCCCTCGATTTGTTTCTCCTCACTCAGGAATCACTCTTCTGTTACCTGATGTTGGTTATCTTGAAAAACATTGTTTTATAATATTTTGTCGATTTTTTGGTTGCTTCAGGTGAGAGGGTAAATCTGGTTCCTTTTTTCTCTGTCTTGGCCAGAAACAGGAGTCTAAGAATTTGATTTTGGCCATTCTGAATATACAGATTAAATCCAAGGGATGAGGTATAGGCTAGAGACAAAAATTTGGGCTTTTCCATAGTCTAAATAATACTTAATATCTTAAGACTAAATGATATCAGCCACAGGAGTGAAAATAGATAGGTTAGATGTCCGAGGACTGAAACTTGGTACATTCCTATATGAAGAGGTGGGAAAGATAGGAACCAGTTAAAAAGGATTAAGAGAGAATCACTGGTGAACTAGGAGGAAAACTAGGATATGGTATGGTTTCCATGTTCAATGGAAAATTATTTAAATATTATTTACATACCATAAATCTCAAAATCCTCACCATCCCAGTCATAGGAGTCAGTATAAGAATCTAGGACCTTGATTTTTTTTTTTTAATGAGGTTCTTTTTCCCAAAGAAGTCTATTCCCATGACAATGGGCCACAAAATGATTGATTAATCATATTAGAAGCAAAGTAAAGATCATTATCATAGCTCTCAAGATCATGATTTATTTATTTATGTACTTGGAATATTACATGTGGCACTGGGTGCTTGGGTCCCAGTTGTGACTGCTAAAATGATCAAGAGGGGGATAAAACAGAACTAAAAATCAAGGATTCTTCATTTAGAGGAGTTAAAATCCTTCCTGATTAATGTGATTGATATCTACAAGAAAACATGAACACACTCTCCAGATTTCAAAAATGGAGGACATTTCTCAAAGCTTGAAAGAACTAAATTTAAGAAATTGAGGTGAGCTAGTAAATAAGGAATAATGTCACAGAAGAAAAGTTAAAAGCATTTGTTTAAAAATTGTGTTCTTATAAAACAAGGTTTTCTAAAAGTTGGCCAAGGTATTCACCTACTAAAATAAAATACTTTTTTTTTTTTAAGATTTTATTTATTCATGAGAGAGAGACAGAGACACAGGCAGAGGGAGAAGCAGTCTCCATGCAGGGAGCCTGATGTGGGACTTGATCCCCCATCTCCAGGATCATGCCCTAAACTGCTGAGCCACCCGGGCTGCCCAATGATGCATCTTTCTGAAGATGTAGACAAATGTAAACTAGTAGAAAATAAAATTTTCCACTTGGGAGGCTTTCTGTCAATTAACTTTTTAAAAAGCTTTAGCATCTCCTAGGACCTGCATTGTTAATATAGTGTGCAGTCTATTTTAACATAAAATACTGTATTTCAGTATTGAATATAGTCAAGTGTCCCATATTTCTAAGGGGAAGATCCAAAAAGAATGCTTTTCCCCCCATTCTTCCACTGTATAAAGTAATTGTATTCAAATATTCTCATATATTGTGACATCTAGTGTCTTCATGAGAGTCACATTCTTTTTAGTATATAGTTTTTCAGAGAATATTGTAATTAAATTGTTTGAGAATACAGCACTTTTTGAAACTTAAAATGATGAAAATCTTGTCCCAAGCAACTAAAGCTCATATGTAATACTGAATTTCTTCTGTAAGTGCTTGGAATTGCCTCAGTGAAACAACTTAGTGATTTAATTTTTAAAATGATTTTTTAAAGATGAGTTCACAGTGATTATCTGACACCTGGTATTTTTAAGGTCCTAGGAGTAACCAAAACTGTTGAAATTTTTGTTCTCCTTCTATTTCGCTTTGTCATTTAGATAAAGGAGGATGTCATAGAGCACTTTGCTAGTATGTTGATGAGTTTCTTTGACTTCACTTTTAGATAAACATTTGTTGAATAAATTGAGTTCAGGGAAGACTTTTAGAATAGCAATAGGGAAATAACCTACAAATATGATTTTTTTTTTAGATTTTATTTATTCATGAGAGACACAGCGAGAGAGAGAGAGAGAGAGAGAGAGGCAGAAATCTAGGCAGAGGGAAAAGCAGGCTTCATGCAGTGAGCCCAACGCTGGACTGGATCCTGGAAAGAGAGAGAGAGGCAGATACATAGAGGGAAAGCAGGCTCCATGCAGGGAGCCTAATACGGACTGGATCCTGGATCCCAGGATCATGCCCTGAGCTGAAAGCAGATGCTCAACCGCTGAACCACCCAGGTGTCTTCAAATGATTTTTAATAAGCAAGAATTTAAAGTTTTTGTAACTTTTTTATTCAGATACAATCAACGTGACTGTTATACCATATCGTATATTTTTAACTTAACTGACAACAGGAGTAATTGTATCTTACTTAGTCATTTTTTTAGATTAACAGTTAACCGGAGTCTATACCATTAGAAAGATGATAGCTTTGGAGATAAAAGTAGGGACTAGGGCAGTCTCAAAATCTCATACCACCAGGGTTCTTAGGTAAATTCATGACCCAAACAAGAGGATCCTTGATATTTCTGGTTCCACGCACACAAACTGTTTTGGAAGGTAAAGTGTTTGATGCCAAGAAATGTGGCCTCTCTGAAGCTTTTCCTAATCTTTTAAGAGTCTAAAGTCTAAAGACAATACCCCAGACTAGCCTTGGGGAATAACCTAGAATACTCTTAGGAATAAACTTGAAGTACCAGAAAACCCTCAGGGTACAGTCATTGTGTTTCCTACTGCAAAAATGGAAATGGCTTTTACTCTTTTTGAGACATTGTTTTCCATTGGAAATGTAGGATGCTATGAATATTCTTCAGGGGTTAATGTGTTTCTTGGGGGTAAAACAAAGTTATTGGACCTGTTTTTCATTAAGTATGAAATTATTACAAAATATATTTTTAACTATATCAGAAAGCATGTATCTGTGTGTGTACCTAACAAAAAAGGAAAATTCTAATATTTTACAGCTACAGGAACCCTGAACTGGGATTCAGCTGACTAGATTGTTGTTTTAGGTTCTGCCCCTACAGTCCTCAAGTTCCCTATATAGAATAGGAGGACCAGTTCATGGAATTAAACCATATATTCCCCAAAGCTCTTTACAACACCCCTCAAATTCTGAGTTTTAATTATTCTAATGAGTAGAAATATAAGTTAAATACTCATTTGCAAGTTTGCTGCTCCTTATGTGTGGGAACTATTTTTACCCCAAACGGTTGTGATAATTATAGCTTTCTACCCTTGAAGTCATAGGGTGCTATGAATTGGTAAAGGATTATAGAATTTTAGTACATAGTTCTAAAAGTCCTTTCAGTACAGGGTTAAGAAATGGTGGGAAATGTGACCTCTACTGTGTAGTGAAAGATGTTCTTTAATATACAGAGGCATTGTTCTTTTTGGCATAATAATGAAAGCATTCATTATATCTAGCACTTGGTTCTCATCTGTATAAAATCAGTTGTTTGTTGATGTAATACGACCTTGATTGCAATGCCTCAGGAAAGGGGCGATTGTGGTTGTTGTAAAGACCCTTATTATAGCATTTCTTCTGCACTTTGAAAATGAACTTCATTTTTATCAATGCTTGTGAAGTCTGAGTAATCAAATTCTTTCAGGATTTACTTTTGGGTAATCACTGATGAGATACTTCCTTTCACATTTTTGTGATTAACTATCAATATAATTTGATCCAGGTACTTTTTCTTTGCAGTCATAGTATTTGTTTTTTTTAGAATTGAAAATATCTTTTGTGCTGTAATTACCCAGTTATTTGCTTCACCAAGGCCATTATTGCTGAAGTTTAGAATTACTTGCTAGATTTTAAGATTTTCTCTAGTATTTAAAAATTAAAGTCTCATGGTTATGAGCATATTGTAGCATTTAACTCTTAAAGAGAATATAATGCTTCTGTTGTAATTACTGTTGGACCCTGGCTCACAGGTGCCAACGTGTCCCGGTGGACGCCCCAGAGACTCAGACCCCAGACAGGCAGATGCAATCAGCAAGAGGGTTTATTGAACGTTTGCGCAAACGGGCTCTCCGCCTCCGAGGAGGAAAAGAGCCCCGATTAGCAATTACAGGTCTTTTTTAAAAGGGAAGAAACCGCCTAAAGACAAAAGAACCACGGGAGTCGCATAGCATCCAGGTTAATTTCACAGAGGGTCAACATGAACCTATTCAGGGACATTCCAATCAGGGTGTGGGGGGAAATGGTTTTCTTATTGTGAACAGAATGCTTTTAGTTGCTAAAATTTCAGGAAGGCGCCTGGATGGGCTGCCTCTGGATTAGGGCTGGCCCTACTTACAAGGGGGGAGGTTTTTTCAATTACCTGTTGAAAATAGGACAGTTTCAAAAGTATTTTTGATCACTTTAAGCTTGATTATCAGAATTTGGAAATTATATTCTTCCTTAGCTCTGTCTACATACAAATCTTTTCACTGTAGTCCGAGGAGAAATGAGGGTCCCTGAAGAAGCTCTAAAGGTAAAAATTATTACTTACTTCTTTTGTAAACCTGTCATTTGCTAGAGTTGATTTCACTCCTACATGTTTCGCTTTCATTCTTAAATGTTTTATAGCACGAGAAATTTACCATTCAGCTTCAGTTGTCCCAAAAATCTTCAGAATCAGAATTATCAAAATCTGCATGTGCCAAAAGCATAGATTCAAAGGTGGCAGATACTTCAACTGAAGTGCAGCACAAAGCCACAGAAGTACTAAAATCTGAGGAAAAAGCCATGGGTAAGTTAACCTCTTTGAAAATAACATACTTGATTATGAAGAAAGTGCATGCTTTGTTCTAAAAAACTTGGCCAGGTCCATATTGATTATAAAAATAATGACAGTTTTAGAGTGGAATTTAATACAGGCAATGCTTTTAGTAGAAAGCATTATATAACACATAATTATATATGGCAGTTATATGTAGGTGTGTTTAATATGTTTAAATATTTGAGGGAGGTAAATCTAGTTTACAGTATTACTATTATCTCATATTATGTGCTTTTTTATGTTATAATAACTGACATGGGATCCCTGGGTGGCGCAGCGGTTTGGCGCCTGCCTTTGGCCCAGGGCGTGATCCTGGAGATCCGGGATCGAATCCCACATCGGGCTCCTGGTGCATGGAGCCTGCTTCTCCCTCTGCCTGTGTCTCTGCCTCTCTCTCTCTCTCTCTCTGTGACTATCATAAATAAATTAAAAAAAAAAATAACTGACATGAATTAAAAGGAAATATCCAATGATGTTATGTCATAATAATTAGCATATTTATCGTGTTCCAGGAACCACTCTACATAAATAATCCCATTCATGCAAAAAACAATTTTTTAAATTAATAGGTATTACCAGATTTGCTCAGATATAAATCTAATCATGTTACACAGCTGGTTTAAATTTAGTTACTCTGTATTGCCATTGGGCTTTAAAAAATATTTTTAATGGTCATTCACACCAAAATTTACTTTAGTTTTGTCTTTTTATTTAGACTTACTTGATGAGCCATTTCTGTATACCAAAAACCTGATTACGCCTTAACAACAAGCTATTAGGCTAACGCAGTTTGTATTACTTAGGTATTAGCCAATGCAAAATGTCATTTATTTAGTCATGTCCAACACTGAATAAGGTCTTACACAAATAACAAATTTTTCAACTTAGAGTACTTTTCAACTATATAGACTGTACTTTGTTTTTATTTAATAAATTAACCAGGCAGTTCTAACATTCTGCAAAAGCATGTTTGTTTTTTGTGGGGTTTTTTTTTTTTTTCTGTTTTATATGCTTTAGACAGATTCCTTTTTTTTTTTTACCTCTTTCCAGACATTTCTGCCATGCCCCGGGGCACTCCCTTATACGGGCAGCCATCATGGTGGGGAGATGATGAAGTGGAGGATCAGAGGGCTTTCAAGTCAAATGGCAAAGCCGAAGAAAAAAGTCATGAAACTGGAACAGCAGGTAAGGAAAAGCTCAGGCTGACATTCATTGGGTATTTTGGGAAGAATTTGTAATCTAAGCAAAAATCTGGCAACCCTGGAAAGAGATCTATATCTACTATTCTTTAATAAAAAATGTTGTGAGTATCTTAATAATCTTGTCATTGTAAGTTTGTTATGAGTATTTCTTAAAGTATGAATTCCATATCATTTTTATTTAAAATATTTTTCCAGCTTATGAGATTAAAACATGGAAAATAGATGAATAATATAACTGGGCATTTAAAGTATTTTAAAATAATTATTAAAATGTTTCAATTAGACCAAAATAGTAGGCACAAACTAATTTTGTGTGTTTCATTAGATTTACAGGCATGTAATCATATCTTTAAATCAACAGTTTCTGTTATGTTCAGAAATGGGATATATGAAATTCAAACTTTTTTAAGACCTCAATGTGCTTTATTTGTTGGGATAGGGTAGCAACATGATTAGCTGAATTCAGCAGCTAGAATGAAAAAATCGTTCTGGGTCACATTAATAGTCAAGGAACATATTCTTTTGTTGCTAGATGGATTTAGTGATGAACTAAGTGTCCCATAAGCCAGAAAATCAAGATTTCTAGGAAATAAACGGAGGTATCAGTTGTTACATAAGGACTTTGGCAAAGACATCAATACCGAGGGGTCAAACATCCAGTTTCCATGATAATGGCAGATAAGGATCCAGAACAGGAGAAATCAAATATGGGTACCAGGAAACCTAGCAGTATGGAAACCAAGTCTGACTCTGAGTTAAAGATAGATTCCTTCAGAACTCTTCTCAGTTTTCTGCCTTTGACCCTAGTTGTACAAGATAAGTAAGACTTTTTTTTTTTAAGCTGGAGAGTAAGAACACTGTTCTTTCTTTTTTTTTTTTTTTTTAAGATTTTATTTATTTATTCATGAGAAACAGAGAGAGAGGTAGAGACACAGGTAGAGGGAGAAGCAGACTCCATGCAGGGAGCCCCACGTGGGACTCCATCCCAGGTCTCCAGGATATGCCTGGGCCAAAGGCGACTCTAAACTGCTGTGCCACCCAGGCTGCCCAAGAACACTATTCTTTAAAATATGCTCTGATTTTGCCAGGATACAAGTCTATAAGAAAGCTGGCTTTATGGACTCGATTTTACAAGTGCCGCAAACTGAAGTTGTCAACTTTGCAGATAAATTCCTATCATTGCTTCCTTGGTGTTGTCCACCGGCAGTTTTCTTCATGTCCAAGCTTAGAAATACGAAATATTAATACTTAGTATCATTTAGCATACCGTCAGATGCAAATAACAGAAATGTTCCCTGAGACTAAGCAGGAAGGAAATTTTCTGGCTAAAATAACTGTGGCCATTTGGGGCTGGTTTGTGCACCTCTGCACTGGCATCGCTGGAGTCAGTTTCTCCCCCTTTCTCAGCCCTCTGTCTCAGTGTTTGCCCTTATCATCATCTGAGTGAATGAAACTGAATTCTTATGATTATCAGCTCATATGGCCTGTCTCAGTGTCATTTTTGCCCCATGACAAAAGCTGTCTCATAATCTTGGGGTTATTTTTGAGTAAGCAGGAATTAAGTGATTTATGTCTTGTGTTAAGTAGCTCAAAGAACTCAGCCAGATTCAGCAGGTTAAGGGCCTTGTGAAGGTCTTTTCTGCTTTCTTACATTAGTGTGAGGATATCCTTGTGTCACATTTATTACTTGCAGTTTCTTAAAATCTAGGATAAAGGGAACAGTTTACTGACCTGAATTAACTTATGATATTAATAGAGATCATAGGATCAGTATGAAGATATATACTAAATCTTATTTAATTTGATCATTTCAAAATTGTTTTTATCAAATGTTTCAAATTATGAAATATAAGTGATTCGTTTATATTCTAAGCATGCGCTTGTAAAAACAAAGTGATTTGCTTCTTGGTCACCAATTTTTAGAATGTAAAATATTAGTAATTATTAGGAGAGGTGAACATTTCAGAAAGGGTAATAGATAATAGAGTATGTGCTACTTACTGATTTCCTTTGTCCCTCTCAGTGGGTCCACATGTATCTAGAATCTCCTACAGACTTACTCTTATAGCTTAAAAAACCCTGGAAGCAAATATGTATGCTGGAGCTACCAAATTCTCCTGAAATTGTATGAATATTTTTAGTCCTATTAGGAAATTTTGTCCTCATATTTTGCTATAGGTGTGCTCTTCTATCTGCTGACATGGTTTAAACATTTATTTAGGTAACATGTAAAGGTCTTTAAAGTGTTGCAAATGTGAGGAATAGATTTCTGGCTCTTTTACATTGATTTTAATCAAATCACACTAAATAGGGAAACTTTCCAATTGTGAATCCTTTTTCACAAGAGATGTTTCCTGGTTTTTGTTATTTGAGGTACTCGAATATGCCAGGTTGGATATATGTTGTAAGCTGGATGAATGCCTTATCATCATTATAGCCTTTATCATCTTGAATTAATTGAATATTTTACTTAATTTAGTACAGAAGAATGAAAGGTAGTTTTTCTGGATTATGTATATTATAAGGTTTCCCAAAAGGTGAGGCACAATCATAAAATACCCTAAGAACTTGAGGATATTATCACCAGTTGCTGTTCTGATTCAGATAAACATAATTAATTCTAGTATAACCAGTTAGCTTTAAATATCTAGCAGTTGAGATTGTAACAAAATATCAGTATACACAAAATATTATGATATTTAGTGTATTAATTTAGTATAAAAAATAGATTTTGAAGATAAACGGATATTAAATTCACAAATTTCCAGAATCTGGTCTGTTAGTGTTCTGAGACAGGAGAGCTATTTAATTTTCAATATTAAAAAATAATAATAATAATTTTCAATATTAATTTAGAAGACTCCCAATGATTTTTCTAGTAGGTCTACACTTCCCAAGTATAGTAGGTCCGCATGTGATCTGTTTTTATCATCTTCAGAGAAATGAATTCCTTCACATAATGAATTTTTCAGATGACTGGACTTTTTTACAATTGACAGTTTCTTTTAAGAGTTTAATCATTTTCTAAATTTCTATTAAATGAATTATCCATATCATTGCTTTCTTAAGTGGAGAAGGCTAACTATAATTTAAGTTTCTGGTTAATGACCCAATCATCGTGATGAGTATCAGTTCCTGATGTGATACATTACAGTGATGTCATTGGTGGCCATTGAGGGATATGGGACTGTTGGCTCTATATACTGAAGGGTTCTGGACAGCTGTGGTTCTGACCCATATTATGAGCTCTTATTTTTTGTCTCACCTCTGCCATCTGATTCTTACTTCCCAGGGCTGTATGTCTTACCTTAATCTTATTGCAGGTTTGCTTCATGTATCTGAGCAGATAGTAAAAATGCTCTCAAGTGACCTCCCGATTAGTAAAGGTCATGAACATGGGAGTATAGGTGCCGTTGAATCTCTCTTAAGTTTTTAAGAGTTAGAATTTTTTGTTTAGTTATTTTCCTGATTCTTAGTTACGTTGGAGAATTGAGGAAAAGAGGGAGATGTTTATTTGTGCCGGGCCTTGTTCTGGGTAACAGATTATCTCACTTAATACTTAACCTCATTGGATCATCATCACAATCTGATGGATACATGGCATCATTTTTGATGAGGAAAATGAGAATTGAAGACTGACAGAAACAGGATTTATCTGATTGCAGATCTCTTCGCTACTTTCCTGCCTCGTTACAATCATCAGGTCCTAAAATGCTGCATGTGCCACCTGATGTTGTTAGATAACTGATTTTGGGGGAAATTATCTAGTAAGTCTCAGGTTTCTAGTCCTTGGAGTAAATAAAGGTGACTTTGAAGTAGGACCAGTGGATGATAACCTTAAGAATAGTGACGCACAACAACTCTTGATCTCTGCTGTATTTATGTGTTACAGTGTGAAAACATGCTGAAAGTATGTCAGTATTAACGGTGAGCTTTTCCTTCACAAGGAAGGAAAATATTCCTTTAAATTGTGAATGATAAGTAGAAGATAAATGTTATACACCTGGAGCAGCTTTTTGTGGGTTTTGCTTTGTAGTTCAGCCACCTCATTTTATTTGGGTATACAAGTGGTGGTAGAAAGAAACTATACCACCCTTTATCTCTAGCCAGCATTATCCTGTTACCAGAAGGATGAGCAAAGCAGAATAAATGACTCAGTGAATGTCATTTCACTGATAGGCTAGGCTTAAAAGCCAGTTGTACTATATGGACATTGTAATAAATAGTAAATAAGCCCCAGTGTATGAAAAATTAAAAATAACATTAATGAGTTTACTAATACATGGGAGTGACTAATGCAGTTTACTCTCATGGGAATTTTTTTTTTTTTTTTTAAGATTTATCTGTCCATTCATTCAGAGAGAGCAAGAGAGAGGCAGAGACACAGGCAGAAGGAGAAGCAGGCTCCATGCAGGAAGCCCGATGTGGGACTCGATCCCGGGTCTCCAGGGTCACACCCCAGGCTGCAGGCGGCGCTAAACCGCTGCGCCACCGGGGCTGCCCTCTCATGGGAATTTTAAATGACAGGCGTTCAGAGTAAAGAGTGCAAGTAGGCATTTTATTATTAAGATAAATTCACTTTTTTTTTTTTTTTAAGATTTTATTTAATTCATGAGAGACACAGGCAGAGGGAGAAGCAGGCTCCACACAGAGCCCAATGCAGGACTCGATCCCAGGATCACGCCCTGGGCCGGAGGCAGTCACGCAACCACTGAGCCACCCAAGCATCCCAAGATAAATTAACTCTTACAGAAATTTAAAACATGACTTTAGGTTATTTAGTCTTATTGTATAATTTCTTCTCCCAAATAGCATGTAAAATTTTTGCTTTAATGACAGTGTTTTCTGAAACACATTCCACATTTTTAGTTATATGAAAAATTAAGTATATTTTGTAAAGAATAATTTTTTACATTGAAAAACATTTTTGTTATTCTGTTTACCTTCTGTATATTGGGCTTTTTTTTTTTGGAACTGGAGCTTGATATTTTCTATATACCTTGTTCCATACATTGATTACAGCAGTGCTGTTGTCCCATTCTTATAACCTAAAAGCAAATAGTTTTATGTTTATGTTCAGAGAGTACTACCAAGAAATCAATTACAGCACCTGAAGAATCCCATCAAGATTCAATATTTGAAAAAATGCTTCAAGAGACCACAAATACTGCTTCACTTAATTAGGGCATGATTGGAAACAACCTAGTCTCCCTGTACTGCCTTTCTTCCTAAAAAATTATCTGCACATGGTATTTCTATCAATCTGTTTAAAAATGGAATGCTTCTGAGAGCTTAAGGGAAATATTTTTCATTTGAACTCTTTACGATCTTCATAATGGACATAGTTCTCTTGCTTCCTGAAAAACAAGGCCGTTTAGTCTTTTTAATTTATCTATTTAGTTATTGCTTGCATTTGTACTAATAACACATACAAGAAAACATTTCAATAATCATTTGTTTATATATTTTATTTACCTATTTTATTGACATACTATGCATATATTTTTATACCTTTATATTTATTTCTGAGATAGCAATTGCTCACTTTTTCTGCCAACTCTGGTTGTTTTGATCTGAGATTTATAATTCAGCTTTCCTCCCAAGAATTTTTGACACTTGCGCATATTCTGCTATATAGACATACACATGAATTTTCTTCTAGAATTTTTGGCTGGCAACTAAATTTTCTATTTTTACCTTATTTCTTTCACATTGCTGCTTCAATTGCAATGCACATGTTTTATCTCTAGTCCTTTTATTCTTTATAGAATGTATCCATCTTCTTGCAGTGATCACACATCAGTAATGTTATTTTTATAATTCTAAAAGTAATGTCTCTAAATGTGATAGTGAAGAATGGTAAGTGGAATCATTGCCTCTAGACCATCACTTGCATATTGACTTCATGTTTATTTCTTCATATGAGCACCTGTTCTCCTTCAGAGCTCTACTATGTGTTCATAGATAATTTATCCTCCTGACTTGATAAGGAAATTCATATTTTTTCTCTGTCTCTAGATGTATATGTTGAATGTGCATCTTCATCTCCATTTGATTTCAGTTCTTTTGCACCTTGATTTCTAGATCCAAATTGGAAAAAATATGGATCTAGCCATGCCAGGGTCTGTCTCTTAACTGCTTTGTTCTTTGTCACTGCTGCTGCTTATCTTGCATCTTCTGTTACTGAATGCTATTTATAATCAAAATTATTCTTTCTCTGTGACATTTGCCAGATTTTCATCCAGGCTGTGATCTGCCTTCCGAGTCTCATGGCATAATACAAATGGCCATATTTATTCTCCTTCAAGTTTTAGAAGCTCCCAAATATTTTGAATTTTCTCTTATTTTTTTCATTAGGGTGCAGCATAGATGCCAAGCAAGTTGAAGAACAGTCTGCAGCTGCAAATGAAGAAGTACTTTTTCCTTTCTGTAGGGAACCAAGTTACTTTGAAATCCCTACAAAAGAATTTCAGCAGCCATCACAAATAACAGAGAGCACTATTCATGAAATCCCAACAAAAGACACACCAAGTTCCCATACAGCAGGTGCAGGGCATGCTTCATTTACCATTGAATTTGATGACAGTACTCCAGGGAAGGTAACTATTAGAGACCATGTGACAAAATTTACTTCTGATCAGCGCCACAAGTCCAAGAAGTCTTCTCCTGGAACTCAAGACCTGCCCGGGATTCAAACAGGAATGATGGCACCAGAAAATAAAGTAGCTGACTGGCTAGCACAGAACAACCCTCCTCAAATGGTATGGGAAAGAACAGAAGAGGATTCCAAAAGTATTAAAAGTGATGTTCCAGTTTACTTGAAAAGGTTGAAAGGTAAAGTGAATTGATCATTTCAGAACTTCCTGTTTTGTGATAAAGAAAATTCAGTCTTCACAGTTAACCAGACTACTCCTAGATAAATAATTATATGATAGGAAACTTCAGCTTTTTCAAACCTTTATATTTGATTTTGAAGCTCAAAAGCAAGCCATACTACCCATGTCCACCTTACTCATGAAAAATAGTCTGCCTTCATTTTCTTGCCAAAACCAAATTGGTTTTGTGAATTTATATTTATGCCATTAAAAATGTTTCTTTTTCCTGTGGAAATAAAAGATTAATTCTGTTCACCAAAGGAATTCCCTAGAAGACAGTTCTCATCATTTTCTTGACTTCAGGAAAAACTATATTCAATTCTGTTCTTCTCTATTGTGATGCTTCCCGTAAAATGTCAAAATCTAGATTTTGAAAGAAATTTTAAGCCATTTGATAATGGGCCAAAAGTTCTACATTAGTAATATAGTGACATTGTTGATAGAGTGTTTCCAGCTTTTCTCAGCAGTTACTCATGAAACAAAAAAACTTGTGGTCTAGAGATATTAGGAATTAATTGAGTTAAAGATGTTTTTGATATTAAAATTTCTGAAATCACAATCGAATGTTTATTTGTGAAATAGTCAATATATGCTTTTTAGTGTAACACTTGACCGAAATTAGGCAAATATCTATACCTATATATCAGAGTATCAACTGAATAATTTTTCCATTGTTTTGCTAATTAAGTATATTTTAATTACCCTATCTTAATTTTATTTAATTAGCTATCTTTAAAAGAAATGATTGCATGCAAATCTGGCCATTCTGTTTCTCTGCAAGGAGTTAATAAGCTTAAAAAAATGCTCATTGAGGTCATTGTATCCCTAACGTTTTGCCTGGGGACTTAATTATGTGGCAAGTACTCAGTAATTTGAATACACAATAATGACTTCATTATCAGTGATAAGACTAACCCTGGCCTAACCAGTACTTTATGCCCTGGGATTTTGTTTGGTCAAGTCATGAGGAAATACCTTGTTCTGATTTGCTTCTAAGACATTTCAGGATAGTGAAGTGGTGTGATTACTTAATTCTTTGTTGGGGCCTATTACTATATATAATTATAATCATAAGCAGTTACCTAGAATATATACTTTTCTTTTTTTTTTTAATATATACTTTTCACATGTGATTGTTCCCTTTTCTTCTATCAGGTAATATTAAATACATAACTAAGAACTATATATATGTGTATAGGTTAAAGCTCACAAATAAAAGCTACCCATTTGGAAACTGACCATTTTTATGAATTTATAAACAGTACTTCTATCCTAGTAAAATATAAAAGGTAGCATAAACCTTGAAAATTTAGAATTGATGTGGTCTTTCTTAAACTACTCTTAATAAATGTCTTTTTTGACTAAAAGATTCCTTAAAAAGCTACTGTTTTACAGAACTGTTAGGTTTTTTGTTAACTAAATGGAAATGAGACCGCCAAGGCAAGCGAGGGTCCAAGAACAGATTTTATTGCAGGCACCCTCGGGCGAGGTTCCACGACTCACGGAGGGAAAGAGTGAGTCGGGGAAGTCGCGCCAAGGCAAGGTGGCAGGAGGTTTACATAACGTTGTAAGGCAGAACGGTTTCCTATTGGTTGGCTCATATGCAAAGGAAGGATTGCAATCCAACCAGTCAGAGTGACCCTCACTATGCAAAGGAAGGATTGCAATTCGGCCAGTCAAAGGTGACTTCCTCCTCTGGGGTTTGAAGGGCATTGGGTCCGGTTGGGTAAGTCCAAAGGAGAGGTCTAAGGGTCTGCGTCAAGCTGTCAGCAGGTCATTGGTCCATTGGCGTCCCAGGTGGAGGTGGTGACAGGAACCTCAGCCATTTGGGGTATCCGCCATCTTGAGGAGTTTCTCTTCCCGCCTGGCCCCAACAAGAACCTTTATCCCTTTATTATAGCTGCTTCTTTAGTCATCTATAAATATCTGTATTAGCTATTATTTTTAAGCCATCATTTTTAGACATTCTCTTCTTTAACAAGGCCCATTGTAAGCCTGATTCCAAACAGAGACATTAATGTTCATATTCTTCACACTATCTATGCATTAATGATTAGATATTTTTAAACTTTACCAGAAATAATACAATCAAAATACTGTTGTCCCTCAAAGTTGATTTAGATATATATTTTAGGATATTGCCATTGCTCAGAACCCTTCTTTTGGATTTGCCTTCAGACTGTTTTACAAACCATCCAAGAAAATGTGAATATAACTCCTTTTTGGTTCAAGATCCATTTTATTTCCCCAGGCATATTTATAAATGACATTTGACTTTTTCCCAAAGTTAAATATTCCATCATTAGATAAAATTTTTCCACAATATAGAATCTTGAAAGTGTATACATAAATTTTAAATAAAGGTAATTATGGCAAACAGTAACAATTTTACAGTAATTAGACTTCAGCAGTTTTTTTTTTGAATCAATCTCAAAGACTTGAAAGTAAGTAAAATAAAAGCAAAACCTTTGCTCCTACAAGAGTAAAGTGCACGCGCTTTGGGACAGTGAAGAAAATAATGTTCACAAAGCCCATACACTTTTACCCTTTAGGAGAGTTGCAACTTCTTTGACCACAGCTCCTGACTTGGTATAGCCAACCTACCCTAGAAAATACTAAACCGACTTCAGCATATTTAGGCATGGTTAATGGTAGACAAGACCAGAAACTTGGTGAAGAGAGTTTCCTAGTGATTTGTTTGTTGTTGAGTACAAAGAGAGTTTGCAATTCTGATCAGATATCTCACCTCCTGTAACACAGAGAAATACAAAAAGGAATAACAGTCTTCCAAAAAAGAAAATGGCTAACCCATAAAGAGAAGTTTTTAAACTATAGTTTAAAGAAAAAGATACTGAAAAGATCTGACACCATATAAGTGCCAAATTTTGTGTGTTGGTACAAGAATTGAATTCTGTAAAGATGGTGTTTTCACATCGTGTGTATGTGCAATATGGGTTATTTGGTTTTATCATACAGGAAATATTAGAGTTTAGTTATTCCTGGCTCTTACAAACTGATTTCTTTTCAGTTTATCCAATGCAACAACTATGTTGTAAAATTGCATGTTTTTAACGAGTTTTCTATTTGAGTTAGTGGTTTAGTTTGGTTTTATATTCCATCTGCTATCCCTGGTTCTTAGCGTAATTACTTGAGGGATTCCATTAATTGAATATTTGTTTTGTTTTGTTCTTTTCAGATTGCATTTTGAATAGTTGCTAATTTGAAGAAAGATTTTCAGATCTGTTGTCTTAGCTGATATTTATAACATTCATCAGTTTTACTCTGCTGGGAGTGCTTCCCCAATCGCCTTCATTTTGGTTTATTTCTCTCCCTTTGTTTCCCTAGCCTATTACTTTTTTGAAACACTACCCTTTGTGTGTGTGCTTTTTCTCTCTGAATCTTCTCACACCTTTTAGGTACCACATTTTGACAACCAGTCCTCTTGTGTTAGTTAAACCATTGGCACCAACTGGTAACCTGTTAATTCATTAGAAACAAACCCACGAGTATTAAAACTCAACTTTTTTCCATTGCATGAATGCCCTTTGCCCCCACCCACCCAACAAGTCTTCAGTTCTGGTCATTGTCTTGTTACTATGTTATTAAGCAGATATTCAGATTCAGATTTGTAACCCAGAAAAAGCTCAAACTCAGCCCTGGAAGCCACAGACTGACTGCACAGACTGACTGCACCTAGTTGACTAGGCTCATTTACATTTTTCTTCTACAGAAGCCCTCATTTAAGCCCTCATTTGTGATTCAGGCTAAAACATGCATAGAGTAATTCTTGACTTTCCAGTAAATTTATGCTGTAATAATGTAATTACCATTTGATTATTTCTTCTAATATACCTATTTAAATACTGAGAATTCTAAATCATCGAAAAACAATTTCCATAAAGTTTCACATCAGATCCCTAGTAGACTTATGAAGGGTAACAGAAAACCTCTTTTAGGAACCTGATGTTTCAAAATTCAAATGTATTCTAACTTGACTCTGTGTGCTTTATAGAGAAGACAGATTTTTAGCTGGTTATATTTAGCACCCTGCCATTTGCCCAGAAGGTGGTTACATTTATATAGGATTTCATAGACTATGCTTTTCTGTGATAGGCCTTTAGCATTCTTTTTTTTTTTTTTTAGCATTCTTTATTTAACTTTTAAAGCCACCAGAGTTTAGATCACAAATTTAAGTTTACAAAAATTCTCATAGCTAGAAAGACACTTGTAAAGAAGTGTATAGTTAATTGGAGAAAACTACAAATGTGTATCTTCTTATAAACATTTTGCATACTTTTTATTGAAAGTATGCTATACTTTCAGAAGTATTTATTGAACATTGTTGAAAGTTAAAATTCATCACGTTTTTGTGGCACTTGCATTTTCTTTTACAGTGTCATGATAAGCATTTCAGGAGGATCACCGTTTTTTCTTTTTGCCTCTCCTGCTAGAAGCAAATTTTTGATTGCTTAAAGAAAGTATAAGGTTTGGAGGCAGGATTAATGTTTATTAATGTTAAAAGTACAAACTATCACGATGATATAGCATGGCTTATCTGTTACGGCATTGATGAATCATTATAAAGTTAAAATTTGGAGAAAGAAAAGCAATCCCATTCAGTTGTTTATAAAGGACCTCATTGTTGGTTGATAAAATTTGAATGTGAGCATTGCAGTTGAGGGAAGTTTGCAGAGCCTGTTACTGAAAAGAACATATGACTTGGATTGAAAAGGGGGAGGGGGCAAAAAACAAATAGCACTTTTGTGTATGTGTCTAATTTTCTACATGGGATTTTTTTCCTTCTGTATTATGTGTTTTCTTTTTTGTGTGCAGGAAATAAACATGATGATGGTACACAAAGCGATTCAGAAAATGCTGGGGCTCACAGGCGCTGTAGCAAACGTGCAGCTCTTGAGGAACACTTAAGGCGCCACCATTCCGAACAGAAAAAGCTACAGAAGGCCCAGTCTGCTGAAAAGCATCAAGACCAAGCTGTTGTAAGTCAAACTGCTTTTATGATTGCATTCTTTGATGAAGACAATCCCAGAAAAAGAAGGTCATACTCTTTTACTCAGAGTGCGGGAATCTTGTGTCAGGAAACTACTTACTCAACACCACATACAAAACTTGAAAAAACAAAATCTCCAACAGCAGATGCCAAAGTGGTTTCTTTGTCTTTACAGACAAGCTCTACGCATCACAGAGGGGGGCATGGTGTTCCACATGGGAAATTGTTAAAACAGAAATCAGAGGAGCCATCGGTGTCAATTCCCTTCCTACAAACTGCATTGTTAAGAAGTTCAGGGAGTCTTGGGCACAGACCAAGCCAGGAGATGGATAAAATGTTAAAAAATCAACCTACTTCTGCCACTTCTGAAAAGGATAATGATGATGACCAAAGTGACAAGGGTACTTATACCATTGAGTTAGAGAATCCCAACAGTGAGGAAGTGGAAGCAAGAAAAATGATTGACAAGGTAAATAATTGAAATTTGGGGATGGTGGACGTTTTCTTTTGGTATATTTGACTGTTGGAAATTATTGGAGGGTCAAGCGTGGTATGTTCTCATGCAATCAGTAGTATTGGAACTTTAGGATTTTGTGAGGGAACTGCAAGACTAAAGATAAAACCAAAGTGCCTTCCGATTTTATTCTGCTTATATTCTGAACTTTTGCCTGAGTTTCTTATGTAAAGTTGTGTAAATTTAAGATAGAATTTTAAAACTGTGTGCTTTGTGTGACCATCCTCACTCTGCATTTATATAAAAACTACAAGACAAAGCCAAGCTGCTATTCCTCTGTTGATATAAACATAACTGTCAGCTGATAATATTAACCACAGGTTTCCTGCCTACTAATAATCATGTTAGAAACAGATGAAAGTGTGTATGTTTTAGTCAGTTTTGTTCTTTGTCCTTATTTTCTTTTCTTTCTGTTCACTGCTGCCTTTGGAGATAGAAGTGTGTGAAAACAGAATCAGTTTTCTTATGATACTCTGAATTCAGCCACTGAAGTGTATGCCCAGCCATGATGGTTATTTACATTTTAGATTTGTTCCTTGATGTTACTGATTAATGCATATGATGATCGTTGCATGGTTTTAAAAGCAGTTTTTATCAGTTTTGCCCATAGTAATGTAAAATTGACTTTAGAATCAGCTGTTAGAAAACAGCAGCTTAAATTTGGCTAAACAGTAACTTCTTGTTTAAGTTCTTGTTACTCAGAGTGAGCATCAATTTAGGAGCTTATTAGAAATACCGAAAAATCTTAGACTTCATCTAAATACACTGAATCAGAATCCGCTTTAAAAGCGAGATCTCCAGGGTGATTCACATATCCCTAAACATTTGAGGTGCTCTAGTTTAGATGATGAATTTACAGGCCAGAGCATCAGGAAATTAAACAAGATAAACCTTAGGGACCTGGGAAAATTATTAGGACTTCTGTTTGCTTTTAATTTCATAGTTCTTATTTACATTTTGGGATATATTCTATAGTGGATGCAATATAATTACATTGGTATACGTATATAATTTCAAAGTATGTACTTATTTGAGGAGCACATGCTCAAAATTCTTTACTGTTGGAGTGTGCACCTTCAAACTTTCAGAGACCCATTAGCCTAGGAAGTAGATGCTGCATGAGCAGTGTTATAACAGTTGTTAATAAGAAAAACAAAAAAAAAAGAAAAAGCAAGTAAGAAAAGATGAATAAAGTGAGTTTCCTGGTTATATTAAAAGAAGTACAAGGACACAGTGTTAGCACAGAAAATGACTCTTGGTGATTTTGAATTATTTTCATCATTGGGAATTGATAATGATACTTCTTTCAGATTGTTTCAAAGTTCCAAATTTTCCCTCTGGTTACTGAGAACAGGAATATTGCTATCTAAAATACTGTAAAATGCAAAGTAAAAGAATTGGTTTTGAAAAGGAAAATAGAAGTTTTAAAATTTTAGATTAATATTAAATTTATCCTATTATGCCTTTGTTTGGTTTATGGATATTATATTCATAGTCATTGGTGTTTTTTCCATTAGGTTATTTTACAGTGAGGGATTCTTTTGGGATTGAAGAACATGAACACTTGCAGGCAGATCTGGAATTGAGTATAAACTCTAAATGAATTGGATAGGTGCCTTTGCCCTAGAGTAAACTAACCTCTTTAAAACTCTGTTTCTATTTTCTCTAAAATGGGAGAAAGTTCACCAGGTCTTATAAAAAGAATTCAGATGAAATATATAAAATGAGTATCACAATGCCTGTTTTGTAATAAGATGTCTAAAAATGTTAGCTATGTTATGACCCTTACTAGAGGTCTCCACGTGTGGATCTCTACACAAGGTACTGATAAATCCTAGGAAGTTATTTTAGCCTGAAAGAGTCAAATCTAAAACCCAAGGAGAAGTGACAGTGCCAGGGAGCATCCAAAACAGCAGAAAACCAAGAAAGAAGTCACTGTTAACACGTGAGACTCATAGGAAACTGCTGGATAGAGAGGAAGGTCACCACAAACCCTGGTGCATACCTGCTGTCTATAATTATCACAAGCATCCTTTTTCAGTGGCAAATTATACAGTGCCACTATGGATAGAGAAAATGAATATTTTAAAGCAGGATTCATTTAAGGGAGTAATGGTAGTGTGTGAATTGAGTGGATAATTCAGAATCATTCCTAGTTTGTATAAACCACAAAACGAAACTGCCTATAACTATAGGAAGAATTCACTGGATTATCTTGTGGATACAAAGAAAAAGAGCTAAGAGTCACTAGTTGTGGTTACAGCCAGAAGCCAAATTCAGGCTAAAATCAGGCACTGGGAAACAAAAGCAGAGAAGCAGGAGTCAAATGTCTGAAGAAGATGAAGTAACCGTGGCATAGAGAAAACAAAGACCAAGACTAGCCATAATCAAGGCATAAGAAGCACTCTGGGAGGGCAGAAGTAATACAAGTATCATATCCAATTGTTTGGATGATTTAGGGTATATGGACAGAAGTTGGGGCCTTCAGCTGCTATACATCTAAATTTAATTGTTGTTCAGCCCTGAAAATGCATGTGTGGTCTCTTCCTTTTTCACACCATCATTTGAAAACTGATTTATTTCATTGACTTATTCATTTAACAGCTTTTATTCAACATCAACTGTATGCCACCCTTTGTGGTAGAAGAGAGAGATTCAAAGACAGAATTGTTCCTCTCAAAACATGAGTTTGTTAGAGGAATGGAAATACACAAGTAAAAACATATGAACTCAAAATATGATGAGTGCTTTGTTAGACATAAGCTATTGGAGGAAGGGTGCCAGTAGTTCCCTAAAGATATTTCTACAGATAGTTTCCTATTTGTTTAGTCACCTCCCCACTCCCCTGGAAGGTATGCACGCATGGACACACACCAATGTAAACTCCATGACTATGGGAATCTAGTGCCTGGCATTGTATATGTCAATAAATATTGAATTTATTTGCCAATTGAACTCATATTTAAGCAGGTAGAATCAATTCCATAACGAGGGTGGTAAAGTCGGGTTTTCCAAAAATATGGAGCAATCTGTCCCAGATACAGAGCATGGGAATATGAAGGACTTGTTCACAGGACCACAGTTATTTAGATGAGGTCAGACTAGATATTAAAGGCCTTTGTGTATCAGATAAAGGACCGTAGAGTTTTCAAACTCGGCGGGAAATCCCTGAAAACTTTTAAATAGCGCAGTGACAGCTAATCACTGTCAGAAGCGTAAAGAATGGATTGAAAATTGGAAAGGCCAGAAGCAGAGAAGGCAATTAAAAAGCTTCTGATGTGTCCAGTAGTCAGCTGGATAGAAAGGTATAGAAACATCTGGATCTTAGGTAAGAGATCTGGGCTAACATCATAATTTGAGAAATATTAGTAGCTAGATGCAAAATAATAGATGAGATTACTTAGGAAGAACGTATAGAGGGAGAGGAGACCAAAAAATGAAGTTCTTAGCAATACGAACATTGGTGGACAAAGAGTGAGCAAAGGGGTCTGAAAAGAATCACACAGAGGAGACAGAAAACCAAGAGAAAATAGCATGTTGGAATCAAAAACAGAATCAAAAGGAAGTGAGTAAGCCACAGTATCACATGATACAGCCCTGAATGCCTTTTCAGTTTTTCCCCAAAATACATTGTACTCCTGGGCCTAAAGAAGATAATTAGAACAGGTATTTGCATCTTAGGAAAAGATACATGTGCTTAAAATAGGATCTCTTTAAAAAAAATTATCAAGCTGAAGTACCATCTCATTGTTTTTTGGTGCTGGTTGTAGTTAAAAGGTACTGAAATGCCCTTCCCCAGACCCCGAGTTATGGGATTACAGTATTTTGGTTCCTATTTTTGTGCTATGTGTTTGTCAATAGGTATTCTTATTTTACGTATTGTCCCTAAATTCACTTATAATATTAATACAGATGCTTGTTATTTATGAAGACCTCTTGAGTTTTATGTCTAAGCTTACATGGAGATGTGCTCTAATAAGAAAGTGCTGTTGACTGCCTGGAGTAAAGGTAACTGTCTTAGTAGTCATCATAGCCTCCCCAGCCCCCTCCCTCCTTCAGCTTCCCTGTGGTGCTAGAGAACCCATCATAGTGCCAGCTTCTTCTTCCCACTCCATCAAAACAGACACTGCTGTGAGGGAAGAGGAAGACATTCATTAGGGCTATTTCTTGTCCTTCTAAGCTAAGCGAGAAAAACTTACACTGAGAATAGAAAGCTAAATACTAAATTAATGAAAAAAAAAAAAAAAGGTAGAGGGCTTGAGGCTCTGTCTTTTGAAAAAAGTGCTTTCCATGAATTTCATACCATAGACCAATTCTGCCCTGAGTGTTGATGCCTGTTCATGTGTCCATGGCAACATGAATGTCTCCCAAAATGCCTCCTATTAGCATATTCTCTTCTCTCATGGGCCTTGGGTCTACCAGTGCTGTTCTTCAGGCAGCAGGTGGTAGGGAGGAATCCAGAACCAGGAAAACTATAACAACACTGGAAATACAAAATGAAGAAAGTCAGTGCTGAGGACCTGGATCATCTGTCAGCAGTTTGGAATTGGGGATATTCCAAATCTTGAAGCTCACAGCAAGATTTTAGATTAGATCCAAGTTGGAGCCAGGGGACCCCTGATAAACTAGAGTCAAACTCTAGGTGACCGTGCCAGATCGAACACAAAAAGGCAGCCTGTCCCAGGTCCACTCAACCACAGAGTCAGATATGTGTGAGAACTGAAGAGCCTGGAGCAGGGGGAGAGGACCTTGTTCATGGGAAGCATTTTGATTTGGACTTAATATTTCCTTCAACTTCTTGCCAGTCCAGAAACCATTTGAGTTAATGGGCCAAAGCAAATAGCAGCTCTTAGCTGGCAAATTCAGAGGCCTTCATGTTTCTTCCTCTTCCACTAAACTTTCTTGCCCTCTCTTCACTAAACAATTTTTTTAGAAAATCTTTAGCAAGAGCATTC